CATTTAAAAAAAGAAGAAAGATCTCAAATCAATAACCTAACTTTACACTTGAGTAATGAGGAAAAGAAGAACAATCTAAAGCTAGCAGAAGAAGTACCTCTCCATCCCCTGTCTTGGGTCCCACAGGCTCCCACCCCCTACAGGGAAACTCTGTTCCTTCCTCCCTGCTCTTTCCTCCCCAGCATCCTGGCAGGAGGGCATCCTTTCTGCACATTAGGGATCCCTCTGGTGCCCCTCATCCCCAGGGAGCCTGAGCAGAAGTTGGCAGGCAGGAAACCAGAGGGCTAGTTGCCCAGCCAAAAGTAGACCCAAGGGACAGTCCCACAAGCCCCTGCTGCCTCAGGGCCTGGGCCCTGACTCCACCACTGCCCTGTGCCCCATCCCACCCCCAAAGAATAACACCCAATGGTATCCTCAGATGGAAATGGAGTTAGGCTGGGAATAGGAAAAGATAGAGAACTACCCATTCCTGGGGAGGAAGGGACTTAAATAAATAAGTAGCCAGAAATTGGTCCTCTTGCAACAACCTGGCCAACAATCAGAGATGTGCCCACAGCGCCCCCTGCTGCTTGTGGAAAGAGATTACAGGAGCTGCTTCCTTTTTTTTTTTTTTTTTTTTTTAATGTTTTTTAATGTTTATTTATTTAATTTTGAGAAAGAGAGAGACAGCGTGCACAAGGGATAGAGGGGAGGGGGAGGCACAGAATCTGACGCAGGCTCCAGGCTCCGAGCTTCAGCTCAGTGTGAGATCATGACCTGAGCTGAAGTCAGATGCTTAACTGACTGAGCCACCCAGACGCCCCTACAGGCACTGCTTCCTGACTAGAGCCTGAATCCACACTAAATACACATATTCACTCACGCACACACAAAGCACAGGGCAAATTCAAACCTTAATAGCAGAATGTAAGAGGGAGTACTGACTGGGCAGGCAATAAGAGTGCCTTCTGGGGTGTTGGGAGTTTTCCTTATCTTCACCTGGATGGTGGTAACACAGGTGTTTGCATATGAATGGAATCATCAAGTGTACATTTATGATGACTGCCCTTTATTGTCTTTTACAGTAACTTTTTTTTACATTAACTGTTAAGTTTTACATTAACTTTCTTTAGCCCATGGGAGTTGAGGTTTATTTACTTCAAGCACCACTTATTGAAAAGACTTTCCTTTCTCCTATTGAATTGCTCTGGTGCCCTTGTCAAAAAAAATCAGTTGATGTTTGTCCTTGACTGGAAGCTCTATTACATTTCATTGATCTGTCTTTCTCCTTACACCAGTACCGTGATATTTGATGACTGCCTTATGGAAAGGGTTGAGATCAGTTCATGTAAGTTTCCCACCTGTGTTCTTCTCTTTCAAGTATATAAAATAGACTGATAAAACAAATTCAAGAAAAATTTACAAGTTTAAAAGACAGGTACACACAAAAAGAACCCAACACCTGTATATTAGGAGATCCTGAAAAGGAAAGCCAAAACAAGAGAACAGTACAAAGTCAAGTACAAATAGTACAGAACGAAGAAACTTTCCTTAAATTTGAAAAAAAACATTTTTGAAACCATATATTCCAAGGGAAACTGTACACCTGAGAAAACTGATCCCAATGACCAACACAGGATGTATTCTAGTAAAATCAATAAACTTAAAATAAAAAGAAATATACTTTGGGCATCGAGGCAAAGTAATAATAATAATAACTTACAAGAGAAAGAAAAATCAGGGGTGCCTGGGTGGCTCAGTCAGCTAAGCACCCAACTTCCGCTCAGATCATGATCTCACATTTGTGAGTTTGTGCCCCAAGTCAGGCTCTGCTGACAGCTCGCAGCCTGGAGACTGCTTCAGATTCTGTCTCCCTCTCTTTCTACCCTTACTTATTGAAGGCAATGTTTTATACCAGAAGAAACTGGAGTCACATATTTAAGATATTCGAGGAAGGAAAACATGAGCAAAGAATTTTAGGTCTAGCCAAACTGACTTCCAAGTACAAAGGTCAGTGTTATCAATATGCCACAGTCAGCCATGAAAGCAGAGATGCGTGTAGAACCGGCATACGTAAGATGTGAGTACTAAAAACACAAAAATGCCAGAATGGACTTAAACCATCTTGGTAACAAGAAACAGTAAAATTTACCCAGCAGGTGTCATGAATGTGCTGGAGGAGACGAAAGGTTTGTGTCTCACTTGGGGTCTGGAGCTCTGAGCCATGCAGGCTTAACTGAGATGTCATAGGAGTGACAGGAATAACTAGCTTTGTCTCAGCCTGGAGCCCAGCAATAGTCAGGAGGACCATGTGCCCAACTTGGAGCCAGAGTACGAGTCAGGAATCCCAAGGGCTGATTGTTTTTCTTGTAAAGGAGGACTTTGAGGACCTGGCAGCTGCTGGCAGTTTGAGGTATATCCCACAACGTTGCTGCCACTTCCGCTACAGGATATGGTGACCTTGTCTCTCAGGGATCCCAACACTGAGGCCAGCTGAGTCAGCACAGACTGAAGCCTGAAAAGATAAAGAGAATGAGAAGGCAGTGAGAAGCCCCACAGTCAGTGGTTGAGGACTTGGCTTCTGGAACGGAGCTGCTTACTCTTGAAAGCTGGCTCTGCCATTTACATCTGTGTGATCTATTTCTTCATGTGTAAAATAAGGATAATAGTGATATCAATAATTGTTACTAATAATTGTCTTATTAATAGCAATGAGAATGAAATGCACTAATAATAGAAAACTGTCTGGAACAGAATAAGCACTGAGTGGGTGTTAACTATTAACAACATTATTGAAACCGTGGCTCAGCCTGATGTGACCAACAAAGGCAAATGAAAAATGAAAATTTCTTACTGTTTACAGCTCATTGACACATCCTTGAGACAGGCAGAGTGACCTTCTTCTGGGAGCTCAACTGCCTCGATGGTGACACTTTGCTAAGGGCAAAAGGCAATCTTAGGTTAACATTATCCTGAACCCCAGGATCTTGTAAGTCTACTTTAACATATAAACATTTCTTTAGAGGGGGGCCTGGGTGGCTCAGTTGGTTGAGTGTCCAACTTCAACTCGGGTCATGGTCTCACAGTTTGTGAGTTTGAGCCCCATGTTGGGCTCTGTGCTGACAGCTCAGAGACTGGAGCCTGCTTGGGATTCTGTGTCTCCCTCTCCCTCTCTGTCCCTCCACTGTTTGTGCTCGGTCTCTCTCTCTCTCGAAAATAAAATAAAACATTTAATAATAATAATAATAATAATAATAATAATAATAAATAAACCTGAACCAAAAATTCCTTTGGAAACTTCCTTATCTCACCCCCACCCCCAAGATATATGTTGACAATCAAACTCCAAGTTTATGACCCACTGATATACATCTAAAGGGTCTCATGCCTGAGTTTTTACTAAACAGTAATAAATGACCTTTTTCTAACAGCAGCTAACCCCTCAAGGTCCTGGAAAACTTGCTTCCAAAATTCCTTAGAGACTAAACACTATCCCTAACCCCCTCCCAACCTGAAGGTATACAATCAGTCACCAGCCACAACCCCAGGGCAGCACGTTCTGCCCACGGGTCCTGTCCCTGTGCTTTAATAAAATCCCCCTCTTTTGCACGAAAGACGTCTTAAGAATTCTTTCTTGGCCGTCAGCTTGGGACTCCCATCACTCCAAAACCCCATCAAGGAGAGAGAAGAGAGATCCGGGAATTCTCAGGTATCCCATCCACCACTACCAGGCACCTGTGCAGTAAGGAAGGAAGATCAAAGGGTTCCTCTCTGAATATGGGTCATTTGTCAACCTGAGGGTCCACAGGAAGGCCTGACCTGCAGTTTCCTGGGAGATCTGAGGGAAGGCTGGAAGGCTCTCCAGGCCGAGGGGCGAGGGGGCGGGGGTGGGGGGAGGCAGCTGACTATTCAGCGCCCCCTGCTGGCCTCAGGTCTTACCTCCTGGTGGGCGAATGAACCCAAATTGGATTAAAACAGCAGAGGAGCTCAGGTGTTGCCTCTCTGCCAACTGGCCACATTCCTTAGATCCAATTTTAGTACTGACTGCTATAACAGTATGGAGAACAGACCTTAGGGTGCAGGGTGGAGTCCAGGGAGATGGAGCTTGGATCAGGATGGTGGCAGTGGAAGCTGGGAGGATTGATTGGATCTCAAACATATTTTGAAGACGGGGATGGCAGGATTTTTTGGAAGGGCAACAAGTGAGAAAAAGAGAGAAATCCAGGATGCTTTCAAGGCACTGGGCTTGAGCAAGCAGGAAGATGCCATTTTGGAGATGGAGACCCTGCCAAAGAGTGGGTTTGGAATCAGGAGTTCTCTTTTGAAAATGAATCTCACTGTGCCTTTTAAATTTTGGCACTTCCCAAACTTAATTTGACCATAAAATTTTTCTTTTTCCAGAGCATCTATCAGGACTAGTATTCCAATAAAGGCAGGTTGGGGAAAGTGTCTGCGGGGTGCAAGGGAAATGTGTATATGCTATTATTTAAAAGATATTTTAAAATAAGGTCATGAAAATTATTTTAAGTCTTCCATAATCCTAATGCTTTAACACACAAAAAAACTGCTTTTATTGCCCAATTCATCTTGCAGATATATTTTACACAGTGCATTCGTTCGTTCCACAAAGGTGCATAGCATCGAAAGAAGCCTGCTATACACACATCTGCAGTTTTAATTATTTTAATTATCAACAGCGTATATATTTTCATGCTTATCCGGTTTTCATAATCATTATAACAACTGTCATTTTTGCATCGCAATAGCGGAGAAGAATAAGGTGGAGGATTTTGGGAGGCCTCCGGGAGGGGTCAGGATGGAGGCTTGGGGATACCCCCCCCAAGGACCGCTGCGAGGAGGGATCTGGGTGGGAAGGTTTGGGGACCCCAACCGACCGCGGCGAGCAAGGGCTGGCTGGAGACCATGCTCCCGGAACGTGGGAGCCACGGAACTCTCGGACGCCGACGTGCGCGCACCGGAATTCAGACGAAGGTACGCCAGCAGCGGCCGGACCCGGAAGTAAAGGTTGCCGAGTTCCCCGCATCGCCCCCCGCCCCGAGCGAAAGCTGAAGCGGGAGCTGAGGCGGAAGCCGCGGCGGGTGAGCGGCGGGCGGCGCGGGGAAGCGGGAAGCGCCGGCCTTTTGGGGGCACGTTTCCCGAATGCTGGCCGGGCGCCCAGGGGTCCCAAGCCCGGGGCTTGGGAGAGGACCTCCTTGCATTCTCGCCGCCTCTTTCCCGCCCCGGAGCTTGCATTGGCGGTTCGGGAAGGTGATGATCGGCCAGCGCTTAGTCCGGTGCCAGGAAGGAATAGGCGCTGCAGTTAATACTCTCGTTCGTCAACCTGGTCCGCGGTTCTTTTAAGTGGGGTCTGTTGTCTGAATCTGTTGTCACGAGTAGGGAAACTGAGGTTCGGGGAGGCCGTGCAGAGGTCGGGGCCAAGTCAGGGCACGCTCCACTCGCCGCTACCTGGGCCCTGGCTCAGTCGTGAGGGCAACCGGGTGTTTCTCTGAGGTGTTGATGGAGATGAGGGAAGGTCCTTTTGTGAACAAAACAGCTAGAATCCGGAGGCACTAATTTCTTACAGGTAAAAAAGAAGACTGTGATCTAATCTTGCCTCTAAAGATTTGTGTTTAAGCACAAAGCCTTAGGGAACAGGACGTGGAGAAGTCAGCCCGACGTGGGCTTGATGGCCACTTAGCCCTGGGTTCCCCAGAGCCTTGGCAAAGGTCACCTGGCACTAGTTTGGATTGTTCTGAACCTCCGTTTAATCATGGTTTAAAAATTACAAAACCAGCTTTGTCAAGCTGTTGCAAGATTAAACAAAGTAGCAGTTTGTAGCAATTGTTTGCCTCCAAAGGAGGAGTCTTCTTTCCCTCTTTTCCTGACTCCATGGGTATTGGGTTAAATTGCTAAGGTGGGAAATCCTAGGGCTTTGCATGCTGTTTGGACCCCTACGAGGCCTCCACTCCCAAGCCAAGTTCACTTGTTTGTAAGACTGACAGAAAGGACCTTATTATGTACAGCGTCTCCAAAGGACACATACCATTGGTGGTATTGCTGTTGATAGTTGACAGGGTAGTAACAGGCTAACCTGCGTATTTGCTGTCAACACTGCCTTAGCACTTGCTGATCTCCCCTTTTGAAATAAGAGAACAAACTTTAGGCTCAGCTTTACCAGAAAACAAGACCAAACCCGATACACGACATAGGTTACGGAAAGAACCTGGTTCTGGCCATTGATCACAGGCTTTCAGTTCCTACAAGGCTATACAATTTCCCTTTTTAAAAATGTACATTTAAGGTTTTTTTAAAAAGCAAAAACTTAAATGAATAATAATGTTGGTAAAGCAAAAAGGTTAAGATGGTATATGACACAACAATGGTATAATGAAGGTTGCAAACCATTGCTTTCAGCTATTACTGACTTCCCTTTTGAAATCTGAGTGTGCCTTAATGGAAAAATAGGTCCCAAATAATCACAGAAAATTAATCACAGTTAAAACTGGAGAATGCTTTTAAGAGGTGAACCCTGGTGCCATTAAAAAAAAAAAAAAAAAAA